TACAAACACACAACTTAATTAACACTGGTAACAAATGATTTCATTATCACGTGCTACAAAGACACAACTATCATTATCACTGTTACGAGCACACGTTTGCTAACATGTACCAAAACAAATTTATTAAACACTGTACAAACAACTTTATTATCATGTACAAAAACACCACCCCCCCACATTCATTATCACTGTCCAGACACAACTTTATTAACACTGCTTACAAACACAACTATTATCACTGATAAACACAACTTTATTATCACTGTACAAACACACAACTTCATTATCACTGTACAGACACTATTATTAACATCTGTACAGAACGACACAACTTTACTCCATCACCTTTCACTTACCTACAACACATTATTAACACTACAAACACACAACCTCGACTGAGGCCAGTTTGACGCGGTACCAAGGTGATTTATGGAGTTTCCTGAGTACCTACTTAGTTTGTGTAGCTAACGTTAGCTGACTCAGTTCCAGGTGGCAGGAGCCAAACTCTGCAATAAAACACCTCAGTACTTTATTTCCTGTCCAAAAGAGTCAACTAATCAATCTGTTACAGCTGCTGGACTTGGGGGACATAACACAAGGCGTTATTGGCTACTGCAAAAAGTCCTTCCCTTTTTTCACAGGAAATATAGAAATATGAGGAAGCAATCAGCTCTCTGATTTCTGTTTCATGAGGACTTTACGGTATTTGTTGGTCTGTCTCTCCACCAGCAGCAGAGTCCAGTCTGCAGGCTGCCCTGCACCAGTCTGTCTTTCTGTCGGCCATGTCGGCGCAGCCTGGCCGCGACCTGTCGCTATGCTGGGAGCAACACCGCAAACTGCTGCCGGGCGTTGCCGGAGTCCACGCCGAAACCGTCCAACACTGGAGCGTCCAGCAGGTCAGTATGACCTGTCTGTCTCTCTATATGACATGTCTGTCGCTCTCTGACCTGTCTGTCGCTCTCTGACCTGTCTGTCGCTCTCTGACCTGTCTGTCACTCTCTGACCTGTCTCTCTGCAGGTGTCAGACTTCATTGAGTCTCTTCCTGGCTGTGAGGAACAGGCCAAACAATTCAGAGACGAGGTGAGCTGACCAATCAGCTACTGTAGATTTTATTGCATCACACTGATCCTGCTGTGATCTGATTGGTTCCTGCCTCTGTCTGTCTAGCAAATTGATGGGCGGGCCTTCCTCCTACTCACCCAACGGGACATCATCAGGATCATGTCAATTAAACTTGGTCCCGCCCTGAAAATCTACAACTCCATCCTGATGTTCAAGCACGCTGAAGACAGAAGCAAATTACACGCAGAGGACAGGAGCCAATCACACACAGAGGACACCTGACACCTGCAACTCATAACTGAGCCAATCCAGAAACACCAGTTTGACATTAACAAGCCCCTCCCCCTCTTCTGATCCATCCAATCATCAATCAGATTCTCAGGTGTCGGTCAGGTGACTTCATCTTGGACGTTCATGACAAAGAAGAAAACGAGACAAACACTAGTGGCGTAGTAAGCCTTGACCAAACGTAGCAAAATGTTTATTTAAACGCATTGAAACGGCGGTTCATTGAACACCTTTTTTATATTCACGTCGCTGCTGATTGGGTATCTCCTCTGACACGCCCACCAATCCAGAGAAAACGTACCTCAAAGCCTGTCGTGCAGGAAACATGTTGTTCAGCCTGGAAACGGGAGTGAACGGTGCACACCGTGTAGGATCCACACCATTACTACACCGGCTTACGCCTGTGGATGCAGAGTAGGCGGAGTCTGCACACCATGTGACAGTTATCGTAGCCGGCAGATATGCAGGATCCTCCGCTAAACATCACCATGACCACATGGCCCTTACAAACACAAACAACAAAACAAGTCTCAGGTTTATAAAATCATATTGTGAACACCCTTTCTGTGCTGCCAATTATTCGTCAAATAGGGAAGCTACCAAAGCTAACCCTGAGCTAACCCTGAGCTAACCCTGAGCTAACCCTGACCACTGACAACAGTTGTTGTGACCCTCGTTCTGTCACCTGAGAACTCCTGAGCTCCACTTTAGGTTCCGGCTCTTATTGCAAGCAAGTCCTTCAGAGAACTAAAGACTGAAAGTCTGGACTCACCAAACCAGGACCAATGTGCAAGGATTCTGGGATGTAGAGGCCTAAAGGACACAGGTGGTCCAGGTGGAAGGAAGGGAGACTGAAATGAGACTCAGCTGCACATCTTGATTTTAGCTTAATGAAAAATCTTTTGCAGTCTTAATTTTTTTCTTTTAAAAAGTTTTATTGAACTTCCTACAGAGATTTTCTAGAATATCTTGGATGAAAACTGCTGCGAGCTGATTGGCTGAGCTAGTAAAAAAACACCAAAAACGCACAAATAGTAAGAGAGGTCCCATATTAATGCCGAAAATGCAGAATTGTTCGGAAAGATTTTATAATTGAGAGAAATTATGAAAAAGGTCTCATCAGTTTTGTAAATCTGATTAAAAGGTCTTAAAAAAGATCTTAAATGTACGAGACAAATTTTAATTACAAAAGCCTCAAAAGTACACAAAAAAGGAAATTGTGACAAAGAACCCCAAAAATATCTAAAGACATTTTATAGAAGCCATAAAAATTTTTTTGTTGTGTTTTAGTCTCGTTATCGCCCCTTCCTAAGTCTTGCCTCTTTTTCTCTGTGCTCCTATAACAATCTTTAGCTAGCTAAACACTAACTAAACAGCTAGCTAATACACATCAATAGTTAGCTAGCATTTTGCTAACATTAGCCAACTTAAGATGTGACTATATATTACTTTCTTTTATATTTTAACCATCTTCAAAATAGATTACATAGAAGTCCAGGAAAGGACGAAGTTGCTCGGCTGTTATTGGAGCACACAGCAAAAAGGGGCGGGTCTTAGGAAGAGTCAGTTATAAGTAAAGGTGTATTTGTGGAAAAGCACAGGTTCTAGCATTGTTTAATGAATGTAAGGGCTCATGAATAAATACCACACAGGACCGATGACTGGCTTCGCCTCCACTTTAACGACTCAGGATTTAATTTGAACACATCTGGTGACATCAGTCAACCTCCTGTGCAATGATTGGTCGGTTCTCGCAGTGGACAGACGTCTTTATTGATTCCAGAGTTTGTATTTATAATTTTATTCTCTATAGTGAATCTATATTTGAAAGTTTATATATTACTATATATTTGTATTTCTGTTCACTCTGACCCCTCCTCCCCTTTGATGTCACTGTGATGTCACAGTGGGCAGCTCCCTCAGGTTTCCATGGTAACAGCAATCTGCTGATGTTTATAATTGTTTTATTTTTGTTGTTGTGTTTGATGAGATTATTAAAGTTTACTATCTGACCTGAGTTCTGCTCCTTCATTGGCTCTCTTTAACAGTGCAGGTAACAGCTGATGTCACACAGGTGTTACTTTTATATATTTCTGTTGACTGACACTGAGAATATACTGCAAATACTGTGCACACGTAAGTTTACCTGCTGGTCACAGCTGGTTTGATCATTGATTGGTGACTTCATTAAATCCATAATCTATAATCATTAAACAGGGTATAAACTCTAGAGCTATATGTAGTTGATCAATAATCAAAAATCAGAAGCTGTCAGACATTGACTGTTTACCATTCCCTGTTTAGATCTTGGTGCTTTTTAGCTCTA